AGAGCCTGAATTGTGTCTTCACCTGTCCTCCTGCTCCACCATCACACGTGTACTTTCGTTGTATCGACCATTGTGCTTTGATATGTGCATCATGCCCTGGCATTTTCTGCATCAGAGGCAATTTGTCATCTCTCCTAAGCAGGGCAGGGCCTCAGCTGAGAGGCTGGAAGTGTAGCTGCACCCAGCACAAACAAAGAGCATTTGATTTCACAGTATTTGCTTCATTTATTAATTACATAAATTAAGCTGCACAAAATGGGGTTTTTTTTGTCACTTAGAGTGGGCTTGGATTGATGTTACGGTAGCCTGGCTGTGAGCTTGTTTGAAGGGAGGTGACAAATGACTTCTATTTTTCTAAGAAAAATAATAATTGTTAATGTCACAGACAGAATTCCATCTTTGCCTAATGTGACTCCACTCTTCATCACCATTGATCCTGAGAGGGACAATGAAGAAGCCATTGCCAGATATGTTAAAGGTATTACTGTTTTCTTCCTTGATGTCTTATAGCATGTAATACAGAGCACTGGAAAGGAGGCTCTTGTTGTGATTCTTTTCACTAAAATTGTCTAAATGTCTTTTTTCTATCTAGAATTTTCTCCGAAGCTGATCGGATTGACTGGTACTAAGGCACAGATTGACCAAGTGGCCAAAGCTTACCGTGTGTATTACAGCGAAGGTCCCAAAGATGAGGACAACGATTACATAGTAAGTAAATGTAGGGCCTTTGCCTAATGAAAGACTTTGGATAAGAGCAGAATGTAGGTTTTAAAATCAGAAGGCAGCTGTTGCTGAAGTCCTACATGACAGACTCCTGTTGCACTGATTTGTTAAGCTGGGCTTTAGAGGTCTTAGTCAGAATCAAGATGCTCTCTTACAAGCTCAGAGCCTCACTGAAACTTTCTAAAAATGTACAATCCCAGGCCTGCATACGGAATAGCATATGAGCTGGCAACCCTGGCAGTAATTTGAACTTTTTTGTTTTGTGTAATGTTTTTGTCTGGCTGTTTCCCTGTGTGCTCCAAAGTGAAATGAAACTGGTAAATTTAAGTCAATAGAAAAAGGGAGAAATGAGAGGTAAAAGTGAGTAACAACTGATTCCCTGCCAAACTGACATCAAGGAATGGGGTTTTCACAGCAAGAGACTTGGATGATGCAAAGTCTACCTGCAGATACTGTGGGGATCTTCCTCCTGTATCAAATGACCTGGAAGAGACAGCATGTTAATGCTAAATTAAAATAAAATATGTAGAATTATAGTGTGAAGGGGGAAACTGAGGTATAAGTGAGGCTAAACTGGGCAGTTCAAACTCTTACTTTCTACAAGTGAATAGGACTGGTTATAGGGCTCAGAGCTGCTGCCAAGGTCTTCCTTGACTTGCCACGTCCTGAGCAGACTGAAAGAGTAAAGTAGGTACAAGTGATGTGACAAGTGAGGATACATGTTATATGATCTTCATTACAAGAACTAAGGCCATTAAAGAAAACTAAAAACAGGTTCAAAAGGAAAGGTGATGGAAGCCTGTGAGCTAAAAATGTTTGTAAACTGGGAGGTAATAGAGCAAGACAGCATGTTTTTGGTGCTGGTTTTATGCTCTTCTGTAAAGCAACCATTGTTGGCCACTCTTTGAGGTAGGATGCTGCAGCAGATTGGTTCTACAGCATGTAATCCAGTATTGTCTGTTCTCAATTTGTTTTGTTCTGTGGGTTTTTTTAAAAACAACCTGACTGCAGCAGATAAATTATCCACATGAGCAAAAAGATTATTGGAACAAAAAAGTGGTGCATAGAAACAAACAGCAAGAGCAGCACATGATCTAAGTAAAGAGCAGATGAAATACTGATGATATGCACTGCTCTACATTACTAAAAGGGGTGCAAAGTGGAGAGATCAAGTACTTGTTTTTGCTTAAAGTGACAACTCAATAGCTACAGTAGTCCGTGTCTAAGCTGCTGTATTTGAATGGAGGAGAGAAGCTTGCTGGAGAAATTAAACACAAATTTAAATCAATCTGGTGTCAATTTAAATTCAATCTAAAGTTACTGCTTAAAATCAGATTTATAAAAGGAGGCTGGTGGAAATGCAAGAATAGGGTATAGGAACAGGATTGGCAAAGGATGCCTGCTCAGAGAGGGAAAAAATCAGTAGAATCTGACACTAAAGGAGTGAACTGAAGTTGAGAAGGGATGATGAAAAAGGCCAGAAAAGCTGGAGGAGTGCTGCTCCTTATGAAACAAACCACACCTGGATTCTAGCAAACCACACCTGGATTCTGGCATGGCCTTGAAGGGCAAGTACAGGGGTTCAGCCAAGGAAAAGAACTCTATAGATGACAGCAGCTTCAAGGGAGGCTGAAGAGTGAAACCGAACTGGAGGAAGTGACTACAGATGCAATGAAGTAGGAGAAGGGATTCAGGATCTGGGGAGAATGCTGTAGGTTTGTGCTAGGGTTGTGAGTCTGAGAAGGGAAGTACAGCGAGGAGGAAAGACCAGTGAATTGGGAGCAGGAGAGCAGCCTGGGAGCCCCAGACATGGTGCCAAGGAGGAATAGTAGATGTGCATCTCTTCAGGATTTCTTCTAGGCTCCTGGTTTTGAGGGGCAGTGAGCTCTGTGTGCTCAGGGCAGGAAGGCCAGAGGACACAGGTCTCTGAAACAAAATGGAAAGAGGATAGCAGCAACGGCAGACTTGGGAGGGAGAGCTTGAGGCTAGTTTTATGGTTACCTGAGGTTTATCCCAGTAATTACTACTCTGTCATTTCTTCCAGTGAGGTTTTTTTTTTCCTCCTCATATCTTGCATGGACCTGCCATGCCAGTTGGTGATTAAGACTGATGTTTGTGCAGGAGCAGGTTCTGTTTCCTCTGCAGGCTGCTGGGAGGTGGGGAAGAGGTCCACTACAGCCAGTTAAACTTTGCTGCTTTTTTTGACTTCAAAAAAGCATTGAGATGAACATTTAGAAATTATAATTTCTAAACATCTGTTTGAATTTTTCAAGTATTACTTGAATATTACTAGTTCCTGTTTAATAATCTCAATTTTATAATTCTCAATACCATAATATCCAATGTACTTATTTTATTCTGGGGTTTACAAAATTGCATTGAAACTGAAATTATGATCTTATGTGCATACAGTGGGAACAGTGGAAGCTTCAGGCACAGTTTGAAAAAAAGTGATCTGCACACAAACTGCACTCCATCCTGACTGTATTTAATCTTACACAGGCTGGGGAGTTAAGATGCCCTGAGCAGGCTACCTGATTATTTTTTTTTTTTCCCCTCACTAGTTTGCAGTTGAAGGATCTAAATTGTGATTCAGATTCCTTAAAAAAAATGTCTTCTAGAACTTGATTTTGTGATCTTATCTTGAACATTTGAAACTAGATTAAAGTATTTGAATTAAACCTTCTTCAATAAAATTTTGAGTGACAAAAAAATTCAATAAAATTTTTCAGTGGCAGAAATCCTATTAAGTTTAACGCATCCTTTTAGCTTGTGGTACTGGAAATGTTTTATGTGATTTCTTAATTTCAAACACAGTTCTACTCTCAGTGCATAAGCACATTTCAATTCTTTTTCTCTAGTAACAGTGAGATGATGTAGTCGCTTGAGCACTCACAGATTCATGGCCTCCATTTTCAGTATTTTGCATCTTTGTTCATAAAGATGGTGTCAGAGTTCAATGCAGACAGTACTTGCAGTGGCACTTAAAATAAATTTACAATGGAGTTATTTTTTATATAAATCAAATTGGAATAGCTTGAATGCTCAAGTGATTGTTACTTTGGACCTATTCAGGTTATTTTAATTCGGACAGTAGAGGGACCCTCCTCCCAGCACACTGATTTGTCTCTCCACCAGCTCCTCTGTCTGCAGCTCCTGTATCCCAGTGGTGCTCTTGATCCCATTGTTTACACTGACAGTGAGCTTGGTTTAATGAGTTATCTCTGTTTATGTTGGATTTACATCACATTAGCAGCAGGAGCTTAAATACCTTGTGAGAGTTATGCAGTATCTTGAGAAGTAGAGGGATACTGGGAAAAATGGGGAGGGAAGACCATTAGCCCACAGGTTTGCCCCAGCCTTCTGTGTGCTGCGGGAAGGGTGCCAGCAGCTTAGGGAAGGCTTGTCTGCTCACAGTATTACTTCATGTATTCTGGGTACACAACTAGTTTTGTCTATTTATTTTCTTGGGTAAAACAAGAAAATGTTGCTGAGGTGATGCTGAGGTTTTCCTTATCTTGCTTTAGCTTGTTGGTGAGAAGTCTTGTCAGAGAGGTGAACCAAAGGCTCAACAGGATGCTGTTGCTGCTGACTTTGAGATGTTCAGGATCTTTCTTACTGAGCCATGATGTACTCTCTTGCAGGTGGATCACACAATAATAATGTACCTGCTCGGGCCAGATGGTGACTTCGTGGACTATTATGGCCAGAATAAGAGGAGCACTGAGATTTCTGCTTCTATTGCTGCACACATGAGAAAATACAGATCCTAAACCACAAGGTCTTCAGAGATTGACGTGAACATAGTCTGTAGGTTTGGCTGAAATTGGGAACCGGAATTAAAGCAGGAACATATAAGTGTAACATCCTGTTACCACATACCTCTTTTCTTCCAAATAAGGAAGACAACTGTACTTCTGCAAAATACCGTTATAAAAAATCTCTACAGAGTCTCCCTCATGGATATTATTTGCAGCAAGACCTAGGCTACAGAATGAAATTTTGGGCTGCTCTGAAACACTGTTGGGAGCAAAAAATGGAAAACACTTTTAATTTGGAAAGAATGTTTATCGCTGGTAGAATTAATTGCTATCTTTGGACAAGACATCAGCAAAGGATAGTCATTGCAGGAGGATGATTACTTGATGAAAAGCCATGTGGGCCATGGCATTCTCTGAGGACTCCTGCCTCCCCACTTTTTTTGCCTTCTGGGAGAGGCAGTCATAATATAAGCAGGAGAGCCTTAAGAGTACTTCTTTATCCAGGTTAAGGAAGTGAAGAACGCTGAAAGCATTAGCAGCTTCTACGCATGGGACCAGATGTGTAGTGTGCCTGATCTCTTTTTCATTTGAATGCAGATATAAAATGTTTCTTTCTTGGTTATTTTTCCAGGTGAATTCTGTTAACTTATGAGGAAGTGAGTAATGTGTTGCAAATAGATTTTTCTTCTAAATGACTTTATGCATAGTCAGCCTGATTGTGCTGTGCTGAATGGTGAAGTGGGGACGTTGAAAGGGGTCTGTGTCCATGCATAGGGCTGTCATTCAAATACATTTTATGCAGTGCAGCATTTGAAAATAAAGATTGCTTTGTATAAGCAATGTTTTTTTCTTTAGTTAGGTTTGACTAGAGTATCATCAGAACCTTGTTTACTGGTCAAGCTTCATATTCTTGCTCTGTTTTATCTCTTTTCAGAGAGTAGTGTTTATCTGTAATAGTGCAAACCATAAGCTGAATGTGGTTTTTTTTAAGGTAGCTGAACTGCAGAGAATGTCCCACAGGAGACAAGACAGAAAAGTTCTTGGTGCAAGTCCCAGAGTATTTCAGACTGAACACATGTGTTCCTACTGGCATTCTTCTCAGTGTGGGGGTTGGAAGAGAACATTCCTGTCTGAGGGAAGGTGCAATGTCTATGGTAAATTTCCATCTTTCCAAAATCCTGAAAAACAGTAAACTTAACCTGTTCCAGAGCAGTTCTAAAACACGATGTCGGTCCCCATCAGCTGCCCTATACTGTGCTGACACCCTCAGGGTATCGGGAAGGTTACTGTGATAGGGTATGTCTATGACTGCACTCTTCTGATAAAGCTCTGTCAAGGAAGGAAGATTCCTGAAGTTCCAAGATACGTTTTTGTTTTTGTTTTTTTTCCCCCCCCCCCCCCTCCCCCCCCCCCCCCTCTCAAATACTAGATAGTTTAAAGAAGGGGTTTTTTTTCCTGTTTTAAAGGATCAGCAAGAATTTTTCTATTTTCAGTTTACAGTGGAAGTTTTAAAGTAGAATCAAAATCACCAGCTGAAAAGGAAGTTAGTTTTTTGGGTTTTTTTTCCTCCTTGTGCTGGCTGGCTTGATTGCGGTAGGCAATAGGAGTGACTTCTGAAGAAAATTTCACACTTAACTATCAGTGAGAAGCTGTGTCAGACCCAGGGTGTTATCAACAATATTAGTGTCTGTGATAAATGACACCCTGGCAATAATGATTTTATTTTCATGGTGTGCTTGCAAATGTCAGCATTGTTTCTAAAGAGCCTTTCCTTCCCTTTATTTTTCCTCACAATCCTGGAGGTAATTTATTTTCAAAACTTTCCTTACAGTGCTGACTTTTGGCACCTCCTTGCTCTGCATTTCTTTCTCCGGGTGGCTGTGCACTAGTTTGACCTGCTGGTGATAGTCCTGTGGAAGCTGGACTGGAGACCTCTGGAGCTCCCTTCCAACCAGCACTTCTGTGATTCTATGAAATTTGTCTTCTTGAGACAGTGCTCACTCAGTTCCCTGAGCCTCCCTGCTCCAGATGAGTGTACTTCTGTTTCCTTTTTGAATTGTGACTTTTACCAGGGAGTCACCTCCTTTTTGAACTTCAAATGCAGTTGTTTTGAGGATGACTTGCACAATAGAGTGCATTAGGATGTAGTAGGTGGTAAATTATATTTATCTGCCCTTGTGATGAAGGCAACATCAAAATGGCACCTCCTTATGGGTCTCAGTGCCCCAACACTCTGGCCATTCAATAGGCTCTGTCTGTAGTGGACAAGTTGTGCATATTAATAGCAACAAACAGAAACTAGCAGCGAATACTGCTGGTGGAGATGATGCTTCGAAGTGCAGGCCTGTGCAGCTTTTTTTAATGCCTTCTCATGTGCTGTAAGTCCCCAAGTTCTTATTTACCTTACTTGCATTGGAGAAATACTTTTTTCCTTTTTGAACAAGTCAGAAATAATCTGAAGATTTTCCTTGGGGGCAGGGGGGTCAGTGCAGGATTTGTCCTGTCTGTCTTGCTGCTTGTTTTGTATTAAGAGTCCATTCCTCTCTGTTCTGTGTTTCTTGAAAATACTGATGTAGAAGAACCTGGTGGGAATGTGACTAAGAAATGGAGCAGCTGATCTGGGAGGTTATTTTGTTTGCCTCTTTAAAGTCTATTTATGCTTCTCTTGATTACATCCAAGTGCTTAAGATATCCTGTGGAGAAAAAATGAATTTTAATACTGTAATTTGAGTCTTTATGGCCTCCTGGGACTGAGACCTCCTTCTGTGTTTGGGGTTAGCCCTTCCATTTTTCACAGGGGAGCAGGTGTGAGAAGTGTGGCCGTTTCCTTGAGTCTTGCCCTAAATCATTGTGCTGGTGGTGTTTTGCATATAATGGAGGCATAGGAGGATCATGTGCATGCTCTGCAGCAGGAGGTGGTTTTAAGGGAGTGGGTTTAACTGATGTGAAGGAGATGCTTGTGCAAAAATGCCATGAGAAGTGCTAGACAAGTGGGTTGCTTGGTGCAGTGATCTTCAGTAGATTCACATCAGTTGTTACTGGTGGCAGGAAAGAAATAGTGAAAAATTTCCTCCTGTTCCTGAAGGATTGATGGATAACAGTAGATTGCTGCTCACCTCTCTTCCCTGTGCAACAAAAAACTGTCTCTGTAATGAAGTCAGTCATACCACGGGATGCTGCTCCCTTTTCTCCATTGTGTGACTCCACGTTACTTCTCATCCATTTCTGCATATGTTGGGTACTTGGTCTCTGGACAAAACTGGTTTTCATGGGTTAACACTTGGAGGTCTGTATTTCTTTATTCGAGTGCTTGTGAGTTGTTTATGACTGTGGAGTCTCCATGGCCAAGTCTCTGCCCCATCTCTTACCATCCTGTGGCTGTACTGGGCTACACAGCATCTTTTGTCTGCACTTCTCACGGTCTCTGCTGTCATGTCAGGGTTATATTCCTTTATATTGCATCAGTATGTTAGTGACAAATACTTTATTCTACACAGAGTACAATCTGTATAAAACTGGGGTTGTATGAAGCAGTGGTAAATAAAAATAAAACAAATGAGCCAGAACAACCTGCTCAGAATAAAAAATTGCTAAGCCAAATACAGCTAAACCAAGTTAAACCAAAATAATAGTCATTAGAAATTCAGATGGGGCAAGTGTCTGACCTGAGGCTTTGCAAACTTGGTACAAAGCCTGTGGGCTGCTGGGTGTCATCACCCTATCTACATTTATTTTCCTAATGCTAACTTGCAGCTGACTCCCGTTACAGAGACAAATGTAAGATTTCTGTCTTCTCCCAAATGTTTTGGCTAAAGTGTCATGTCCTTTAACTTCTTTTTATGTGCCCTTTAAAGGCAGAGCTAGCTAACATGGGGGGCTTGTGGGAAGGGCACAGAAGAATTGAGGATGGAGGAACTGGTCTAGGGGTCACATCACAGCACTCCAGCATGTACCTTGCTTCCTGGCAGTGGGAGCAGCTGGATGTCCTGCTTCTTTCTGCCTCTGGAATTGACCCTGCCCACCTCTTTTCTGTCAGCCTTTCCCAGGAGCCAGAAGGCAAACTTTCTTTGGAAGTGAGCGTTTGTGGGGCGCTTTTTTGCCTTAAAAAAAAAAATAAAAAATCTGTTTAGACAACTGTTAAGCTTTCACTGCCTTGCCTTGGTGGCAGCAGGGAGCACAGCTCTGTTCCCTGCATGTGTGGGAGGACAAAGGGCTGTGCTGAATGCTCCCCAGGAGAAGGCAGAGCTGTTCAAGGGGTGGATATGTAGTAGGGAAAAGGGAATATGCTGGTGGGGCTCAGGACCCTTTGTCAGTGGATGTCCAGTATTTCTTCAGTACTAGAAACAGAGCAAATTACCCTGTACTCATCGTACCCAAATGCCCTGCAGCCCAGAGTGCCGTGCCAGGCCTCCAGAAAGGGAGCTGAGGTCTGGCAGGGGAAAGTTTACGATGTGACTCCTTGCTTGTGGTGCCCTGAGTTCTGGGCTGGGGCTGAGGGGTGCCTGGCTCCCTAAGTGGGTCTCCTCTGTGGAAAAAGACTACAGGCATAACTTGGGAACCAAATTTGTTGGAGTCTGGTGCTGTGAAGATGAACCTCTGTGACCCTGGAGCAAACAGGGACCACTTGGTACCCTGTGGACAGACCGATGGTAAAGTACAAGCCTGGCAGAGGCCAATTTGCAGTGTTGCTGTGTGTGCCCACACCACACCCAACCTGCCTGTCCTGTAAAATATCAGTGAAAAATAGCATCTCTTGGGAGTGGCTGGCATCTACAGTACCAACTGCAGAGCTGATGCCATCCCAGGCTGGCGACTAGTGACAAGATTTCTGAGGAATGAGGGATGGCTCCCTTTGCCTACCTAAGGAAGGTAACGCATTCCTCGTGCGCTGCACACGTAGCCCATGGAGGACCTGAACTAAGGAGTGATACTTAAGCCACATGGGTGAAGCTGGCCATTTTAGGAATGTTCTCACCACCAGCATGGGCAGAGCCAGGGACTGAAGAGGTACA